TTAGACATTGATGCATACACCACAAACAAGTATAAATTCAGATGACTACCAGGTTTAAAAACAGTTAGAGCACACCAAATATAGTAATCACATTGTCATGTGAAGTGGGTTACAACATTCTGATTTTCAACATCAGTAAATTCCCCAAATCAGAACATCATATCATTACAGAACCAGAAATATCACAATCAGAATAAGGTCTAGGTTTAAGTAGAATCAATTCCTACCAGATGACAAATTATAAAATTGACTTGTCTACTGGCCTACCAAATATTAACCAACACCAGCATCAAGTTCTTCTTCACAGACCATCAGAGCAGTAGTGAAAGAAAACTTATGCAACCAAAAATTCAAAGTAGGATTTTAGATGTCTGACAAAGTTACAATGGTCAAAATATGTGGGAATCATTCAGTAATCTTCCGTGATTGTGTTAACCAGAAAATCGTCCCATGACACTTCAGCTTCTGCAGCTTGTGTATAGAACTCGGTATACGGGGTTAGGAGTTTTCTTTCGCTTCACCTGCAATCCATACAACATTACTGTTAATTTTTTGATTATTTAAAATATATTTATATCTTCTTGAAATTATTTTTTAATATTTTCGAAATTCAAGAAATAAAAAAAAATATATAAAATAATTAAAAAGTGATTTTTAATTAAAATTATTAATTAAAAATAAACCTAAAACAAATAAAATCAGCCCTCCATTTTAAAAAATTGTGGTAGTCAAAAGTTATAAGACTAAATTAAAATTTAAAAAAAAAAATATACTGTAATTTTTCAAAAGATTGGCTATTTTCGGCCTATGCTGATTACAGGGTTATATCAAGCTAGTTAACTAGCATACGGCATACCAAAAAGGATGCGGCTGGAGACTTGAAGAGATCCTAGCTTAGTTTTTTTTCTTTTTTTTTTTTTTTATTTTTTTTTTTTTTCACTAGTTGCCCTCACCTATAACACTTGTTACTTGAGCTCTTCAATAATGGCTTTCAGATCATATGATGATCTTATGAATTCACATTAATTCAATTAAATTCAGACGGTAATAAATCATTCATGAAGGACTTATGACTTATGACTTGATGATGGGGTACATTGGGCTTGCAATAATAAGTTGTACGTATGTAGTACATGCAACCATCACCTTGATAATTTATTGGTTAGACTTAAAGAGCTAGGGATAAGGGGCACACTAAGAGAAGATGTGATTATGAATAGAAATTAAATGAAAGACCATCCACGAGAGAGGGTTATTTCCCTTCCCTGGATTACTCCTGTTATTTCTCCCCAAGATAATTCTGAACTAATCCAGTCTTTTCTGATGATGAAATTCAATTCGAGACGCTTTTTTTGATATGTCTCCTTATAAAGCCCCTGGCTCGGATGGTTATGGCCCTAAGTTCTTTCAACATTACTTGGTAATCATTGGTCCTGATATTTGTAAGGCTATTAAAGGTTTTTTCCATAATGGTATTTTATTAGAACTTCTTAATCACACCATTATTACTTTGATCCTCAAGATTGTTAACCCTTCTAAACCCAGTCAATATAGACCTATCAGTCTTTGTACTACTATCTACAAAGCCATCTCCAAAATATTAGTTAATTGTTTGAAACCTTTCTTGCAAAAGATTATCGGCCCCCATCAAAATGCTTTTGCACCAGATCGTGCTATTCAGGATAATATCCTACTCGTTCATGAAATTCTAAATCTGTTCAACAAATCTAAATGTAAAAAGGGTTGGCTCGCCCTCAAATTAGATATGGAAAAGGCTTATGGTCGTATTGAGTGGGACTTCTTATGGTCCACTCTCGAGTCTTTTGGCTTCGATCAGACATGGATCAACTGGATTAAAACCTGCATTACGACAATTTCTTACTCTCCGTCAGTTAATCCTTTGACTTCCAATTTAATTAAACCTACTAGAGGGTTAAGACAGGGAGACCCTCTTTCCCCTGCGTTATTTGTCATCTGTATGGAGGTTTTATCTAAAAATTACTTCTCCTTAGCCAAAGAAAATCTTTAGGCATTGGTGTTAAAATAGGCTCTGCGCTCCTATTATCCCCTATTTATTATTCGCCGATGATAGCTTATTGTTTTGTAAGGCCACTCCTACAGCTTGTGCCTCTCTTCTTGATACCCTTTCTGAATTTGCTTCTCTTTCAGGGCAATTGGTGAATTTCCACAAATCTTCTATTGTCTTCTCAAAATATGTATCCAATCAAAGTAAATCTACTCTCTCTAGTTTTTCAATGTGACCCCTAAGTCTTTTTTGGGTCGCTAGTAAGGGGTTTCAAAACATTCCCCGGCCAAAAAAGGTCTCCCTTTGGTTGCTTGGGATACTATTTGTAAACCCAAAAGCCAAGGGGGTCTTGGCTTGCGTAAATCTGAAGCTATAAATTCTGCTTTCTTAGCTAAGTTGGGTTGGAAAGTAATGTCTGAACCTTCAAATTTGTGGGTTCAATCTGTTACTGCTAAATATCTGCGCCACTCCCATTTTTTGACCAACCGTCCCCATTCTAAGGATTCTTGGATTTGGAAGAAACTTCTCCAAATTCGCCCCTTATTAATTAAAGGTCTCTGTTGGAAAATTGGCAATGGCTCTTCTGTGCTGTTTTGGGTTGATATTTGGTGCACTAACACCAATATTATTGCTCTTTTAAATTTAGACCCTAATCAAATTCCTAATATTGATGCTATGGTGGATATGTTTATCACCCCTGAAAATACTTGGAATGTTTCCCTTCGTCTATTGCACCTTCCTTATGACTTAGTCCAGCGTATTCCTGGAATCCCTCTGCCTATATATCAGATCCCGGATGCTCCTATTTGGGGTTTGTCTAAAGATGGGCTTTTTACTGTTAAATCGGCAACATGGTTGGCCCACTCTCATTCTCCTTCCTCCTCTAAATGGGAGTTCTACTGGATTTGGGATTTAGATATACCGCCTAAAATTAAAATATTTTGTGGCAACTTCTTTTGAACAGCCTCCCACCCATCAAACTTTAGCCTCTCGTCATGTTGATGTTCCTACTCATTGTGTTTTTTGTAATTCCCATGTCAAATCTCAACAACATTTATAAACTTTGCCCCTTCTCTTCTGATCTTTGGTCCTCTCCTTCTGTTCGTAATTGGCTCGACCCTTTGCCTTCTTCCACTCAACTCTCGGACCTCTTCCACTTGTTTAAATCTAGTTCTCCTCGTCTTCTCCCTAAATTTGCCTTCCTTCTTTGGAGTCTTTGGAAATGTCGTAATGCAGTTTTTTTTTAAGAATTCTGCTGGTAATTTAAGTTCTGTGTTTTCTCGTGCTTTCTCCCTTTACCAAGAATGGCTCTCTCGTTCTTTCTAGATGATATTTATCATTATTCAAGTTCCCAGCAACCTCCGACTTCTCCACCTCCCCCTCCTGTTATTTCTTGGTCTCCCCCTCCAGTAGGTTACTGTAAGCTTAATTTTGATGGTTCAGCTATCCAAAACTCCGCTACTGCAGGGGTTGTTCTAAGAGACCATCTTGGCAACCATATTGCTAGTCGCACTTATAATTTAGGTTCATGCCCGACCTTCCTTGCTGAAGCTATAGCCCTTCGTAACGGTCTTCTTCTAGCTCGGGATCATAATATTTCTAATATTTTTATTGAAGGTGATAATCTAACTGTTATTAATATTTTGTAGGGTTCTTTTACTTGTCCTTGGAAGCTCCAGTTGTTGATGGATGATGTTAAGACTATTTTGGAGTCCTTTGAAGCCTTTCAGTCTCATCATGTTTTTCGTGAAGGCAATCGGGCTGTAGACTATGTTGCTTCCCTTGCTTACTCTACCCCGACCCATCAGGATATTGATCCTTTTTTGGATAGCAAGTTTTCTTATTTTTACTTTTTGATAGATTAGGACATGGTCTTGCGAGAAGACAATCCTAGTCTCTACCCGTATCTTACCTTTTTTTTTAAAAAAAAAAATTGAAAATAACGTATACATCCATGAAGACAAATTAATAATATTGAGTAGTATATGGTTACAAATTAAGGTATGTAGGGTAATATGAGTGATATATTGATATCATAATACTAAAATAGATATCATGAATGACACGTCTCACTTCCTAGTGCTGTTTTTTTCGTTTCAAAATCCCCCTCCTCTTTTAGCAAAAAATCTTTAATTTTATTTTTAGAATATTTGTATAATACAACTATGATAATATTATTCCAAATTTTATATATTATGTTTGCATAAAATGTATATCTTTTTATTTTGTGTTTTAATTCTTCAATACACATTTACCTAAATTATTATTCTAACTCTTTTTTAATTATAGACTGGTTCAGGTACAAGATACTATCATTATCGCCTGGACATCTTTTAGATGGACTATCATTGAATTTTGCCAAAAAGTAATAAATAAATTGTTTCAAATAATTGATATTAAAGATATTTCTTTAAAACATCACTTTAATTTTTTTCAAATACCTCTAATATTTTGTTTCTTAGACTAATGGTTTATTACATATGACTATATAATAATAAATTTTGTGTTCAACAACTATATCATATGTTTAACTTCTAAGAAAATGTGAAATATCAATCAATTTTTGGTTATTACCTAATTAAATAAATTAATATATTAGTAAATACAAAAAAAAAATGTCTTTTGCTAAAACATGTGATTGAGATAATAAATTTATTACATACATTCAACAATATAAATAAGATGCACAGTACGTAAAAGACACGTCGGACATAGTGACAAGTGACATCTTCGATCTTGTGTATCTTTTTTTTTTTTTGTTTTTTTTTTTTTTGATAAATAGCTATCATCTACAAATAAACTTTTAAGGCAATAAACAAGCAATGATCAAACTACAATTATTCGATTCTTCAATACACATCTATCTTAAAGAGAATAATAATTATGATGGTGTGTTGTGACGTTATGTTAAGAAAAGTAAAAATCGATCAAAACTGTAGTACAAATTTCTACATATATAGTAATACACACAATATAATTATTCTTACAATCAAACATTTATTTCAACATCAAATAAAGATACACATACATTACAATATTAAGCTTAAGCATAGTTACCAATTTGACATAAAGACTGGTAACTAGCTAGCAATAATTAACACCATTCTTCAATCAAACCATACAACAACAAACCAAGTAGTACATAAGATCTAGAATTCCATCATTCATACATACATTCGTTCATTCAATTCATGCATAGAAAATAATATTATCAAGCATTAATCATGCATGCATATAGATAATATTATTTATATAATAATTAATCTTTGAGATGATGCTTTTCGATATCCCTAGTGAGATGAATACAGAAGTCCATAATTTTGGTAGGGTAGGGCCCATCATCAGCAATTTTTTCAAACTCAGCAGCCCACATTACTGCAGTAGTTTGACCTTTTGGAACAACATGAATGCTAAAAGTTATGCTCTTGAATTCCTTAAGAAGATCTCCTTCAATGACTTTGAATCTCACTGATTTTTTCTCTTCATCTATGGCCTCAACTACTTCCTTTGCAACACATTTTTTCCCATCTGTAATTCATATATGCTTGAAAAATTAACTATGTTTAATCTATGATTGGTAGTGATATATAAACATGCAATGCAATTATACATACAAGAATCACAAAAAAGATGGATGGATGCATGAATGACATGAATAGTTTTATTCACCTGCTTTACACTAATCTGAACTTATGTTATTTTACCGGAGCTTCTTAGCACTCACTTATTAATCTTGTCGGAACTTATTTTAGTTGGAATTCGAACTTGGTAACTCTTATCAACTCTTTTCAGAATTTATTTTTCCTCAACTTATCTTATCTAAATGAAGTTGAACTTATTTTTCCAAAAATAAGTGACACTAAGGTGAATTGCATAGACCCCTAAAATGTATAAAAGTAATTAAATTGGACAATTCAAATCATTCGTAAATGGTGGTGTTACTTGAACAAAAAGTATATACAAGGCGACATGGTGATTTTAGCAAAATTTTCAAATATTTAGTTCTAGATTATTATTGGAGATCAAGATCTCCATTACAAATGAATTACTAGTTTTTGAAAAGTTTTTAGATTCAAACCTATAGGTGCGTGCTTGGATCAACTGGCAAGGGACTTGTTCTATATCAACTAACCAAGTATATACGGTTTCAAACTTGGGAACACAACACTTGTAGGAGAGTTTTTACGTCAATTGAGATCTGACCAAGTCGAACTCGAATTAATTATAAGATTCGAGTAGGCTCTATATTGTTGGGTATGCTTGAAATATAAAAAGTTGTTAAATTGCAATGCGCATCGTCCTCTGATCTTAGATATATTATCTTACGGATTTGTATTAAGGGATATTCTTAAGTGTGCCCATGAGTACAAAATGACATTTACATAAACATTTAGATATTTAACTAATCAATAAATCAATTCAAAAAAAGGAAAAAAGGAAAAAAAAAAAAAAAAAAAACCCATGAATTTTTTTATAAATTTCTTTTTAGGGATTCTCAAATCTCAAATTTTCAGATTCACCACCTCTTCTATAAAGTTTTTTTTTTTTTTTTTTTTAATTTTTTTTATTTGAGTTAACAACAAAGCTACAGGTAAATTAATATTTTTGTTATATTATTCTAAATATTGTATAACATTCTATAAATAGCTAGTAGATAATTTCCAAATACTTATCAACTATGCCAAAAAGAGTATTACAAAGTACGAAGTACAAAAGTGATCAGTAACATATGTAGCTAGGTCAATAAACCTTGCTTTTTTGGGGACCTAAGAGAATGTTTTCAACACACTATATGGAGTATCAATAATGAAAGTATAAGCAAGTCCTTACAACAGAAAACTCCAAGTTTATATAGTCGGCAACACACTATATATGACTATATTGAATCATATTAGCTTCTTTTATTTCAATATACTTGCAATCATACATCATTTGACTTGCGACTTAAGAAACAGATTTGATTAGAAAAGATAAATAAAAAAATTATTCAAATAACTTTAAAGCTAGTAATAAGGGCGGGTTGGTCTTTATTAAGGCTTCGATTCATTTTTATTAAGTTGATCATAACCTTTTCTATTCTCTTCCTTAATTGCACACAAAAAAAATATGTTCAAATTAAAAACAAACAATTAAAGGAAATATATATAAACAATACTAATAGTAGTAATAACAATATGAGTTGGTGCCATAATGTCATAAATAAATAAAGCATTATAAAGTACTTATATGAGCATATTATGATAGGTTAGAATGTAACGATAACGATGAGGATAACAATTTATAATATCGAGTTAATTGATAGATTAGGGTTGCATTACCAACAGTATAGTTCCATAGAATGATGGAACCAGGCTTGCCAAATTCACCCTCATGGACCTCACAACCATGAATTTTGTCGGGGACGATTTTGGAGACGTGGTGTGGCTTCTTCCCAAATAGTTCATGAAATACATCTCCATGACACTTGATATCAACTTCAACTTCAAGCTTTCCTGTCACTCCCATACTTGAATGAAAAATACTTTAGGAAATTAATTATAAAAAAAAATATGGATTTTGAATTTTGAGATACAAATAATGTTTATAGAAAAGCCTTATTTATAGATGGTTGGCAGACCACTGCACCACCCTCTAAATAAAAATAATAAAATAATAAAAGAAGGATCAAGAATACTAAAAAAAATAAAATAATACTAATAATTGTTGCATATAGGGAGTGCATCTTAGGTGCTAGCCTGCTATTCGTTTACAAATGCATATATGATGGTAGAAATGTAAATTTGGCAAACTTTCGAATTAAAATGAAAAAAGTTGACTCTACAGTGGTACATTATAATGTACCATTATGTATGTATAATGTACAATTAAAGTATAAGTTGTCTTAATAATACTTTTTGTGTACTATTATGCATGTAGTTGTACTTTTTGTCATCCTATAGGTTGAATATTTTCTCCCAAAATACTTACCACCTGTTACCTTTACCTATTATGCATATAGTGGTACATTTTTTAATTCTATTTGTTTTCTAACAAATAGCAGCTATGCGTTAATGGTTAACCTACCGCGAATACTAATAGTTGTTCGATAGTAACTAATAATTCGTCACCTTGTTATCATTATTATTTTTTTTATTACTTTTTTTAATTGAAACCCCGTGAATCATATGAGTACCAAATCAACTACTTTTTGTCTCTCTATCTTAATTAAATGTCCTATATTGACAATATTAGCAAATTCACAATAATATTATTGTAAATTTGATGTACTAGCTAACGTGATGTCAAATATATAATGACCCTACTCTTAATAAAGCAACCCTAATTTTAAAATAGTGACCTTTATTAAGTTTTGTGTGGATCTAGTTAACTATAATATTATTGTAGATCTTGAGATTTACACGTGTCAAATGACGTTATATTAAAAATAATGACCTTAATTTTAACATAGTGACCTTTATATTCATTGTGACCTGTGTATTAAAACTCTCATTATAAAACATATTAATGTCTTATGTATATGGCCTTTATTATAACACTGTTATTTTTATTTTAACATTATAACCTTTATTTTGACATAGTGACCTTTTAATTAATTTAACAACTCTATTTTAAAATATCAACATTTAAGCATAGTGACCCTAATATTAGTGATTCATAATAAATTCGTATGAACCAGATCTATTTTAGAGTTGAAGTTGATATTTGAAAACTATTCGTTGAGACAGTTTAACAAGTACTTAGTGACTATTTAATCATACGTATATAACATAATATAACATTGGTTAACGTGGTGAACGTAAATAGTGCAAAAGTTAAAATGTGCACTTAAAAAAAAAGGGAAAGTGAAGAATAGTATTGAGATAAATTTTCTTGTATTTTTCGTCTGTTAAAAGAATATAAAAATTGACAACTCTTCGTGTGGCATTGTTATCCTGCCTATCCATGTATTCTCCACTCTCTAATTTGCTAACTGATATGTATAATGTTTGCATAATTACATTGGTTTTGTTTGTTGGACAATTTTTGCAAAAGCCACAATTTTAAAATAGAGTGAATTACAACCCTTCAATTGTTAGAATTTATCTTATCCATTCATTAGGTTGAGTTTACACATTTAAAAAATAAAAAATCAGTTTTTTTATTTTTTAATTTTATTTATTTTTTAATTTTTTAATTTTTTATTTTTTGGTACATAAAAACTAAAAAGCATATAGCAAGTCATTAAATTATATTTATATACTTCGTAATTACTAGGTTAGAACTCGTGCAATGCACGGTTTATATAAAATCTATTTTTATAATTTGTATATTTTTTAAAAAATGGATAAATATAAATAAGAATTATGCACCTTAATATCTTTACTTTAAAATTTTAGATTTTTATCAAAATTATGATATAATACCTGTTCAATGTCGCCTAATACATATTTCAATGTAGGAATCTATTTATTAGTGTGCTACTTAAATTTATTTCATTTTTTTATTAAGTATAAATTGATAGGTTGTAGTTGTAATGTAGAAGCTTCTAATATTCAAATTTCAAAATTATTAAATATGATAACTCCAAAAAAAAAAAAAATGACATCATCCTTATATTTAGGCGGGAAAATTTTTATTATGAGAGTGACATGTGGACAGTGATGACGTCAACAACGTTTTGTTTTAGTAATAGTTAATTGATTTGAGATCTAAAATAAAAATTACCAAACTTTTTCCTTAAAATTTTTGTCAATCTTCTTTTTCAAATTTTTATTTGGTTTTGTTTTTTGTCAAAATATATCTGACGGAAAAACCATAAACCCAAATGCTACTAGGTTTCGGTTTATGGTTAATAAAACAAAATTTAAGGATTATGAACCACCAAGAACCAATGAAAATGTGTGCTAAGTACCTGGTCTTCAAGCATGAATTTTTAATTTGGGCTTATTTTTAAAACTATAAATCTAATATATTATATCATATCACTAATATATAAAGCCGGTCTCGCAGTCAGGCCACGAGATATCGACACTTGGCATTCCAGTTTTTCGCCAAGTGTCGAGCCACGTAGGCGACAAATAGGTATTATTGTAACACATATGATGCTAAGTAAGCGATTCTTGGATAGATTTTTTTAAGATAAAAAATATTGTATAGTGTTTTATTATCACTATACTTCTAATATTTCATATATACAAAATTAATCATAACTTTAATAAATATCGTATAACTCAGTTTTATTTCTATCATAAAATTCCTTTCAAAAAGTTCTTTAAAACAAGATCCATTTATAATATATTTAATTTAGTTAAAAAAAATAGATAATCAGTAAAAAAAATAAGTTTTAATCAATTAATAAAAACAATTTTGGTTTGGTAAAAATACTTTCGGTTCAGTAAAAATAATTTAAGTATAATAACAATAATTTCAAGTCAATAATAACATAGATATCTATTTACAAACAAAACTACAAAAAGTACACTATTATATGATATTGTATGTCTAAATATCTTGCATTATCAAAAGGGATTATATGCCCAATTTAACATTTAGCCAAAAGTTTATCCTAAAATTTTATCAACAATGTGGACATTGCTCGGGCACAAAACTAGTCACTAATGAATAAAGCCGGTCTCGCAGCCAGGCCACAAGACAGCGAAACTTGGCATTCCAGTTTTTCGCCAAAATGCCTAGTGTCGTGCCACGTAGGAGAAATAGTATTATTATGCAATCGATTTTTGGATAGATTTTTTAAGATAAAATTGTTGTATAGAGTTTTATTATCGATAGAATTCTAATATTCATGTATACAAAATTAATCATAACTTTTAATAAATATCGTATAATTCGATTCTATTTCATCATCAAATTCGTTTAAAAAAGTTCTTTAAAATAAGATCCAGTTATAATATATTTAAAATAATATAGAATTAGTAAACATAAGTTTTAATCGGTAAAAATACTTTTAAAAATAATTTAAGTATAATATTGCATATCTAAATATCTTGCAATATCAAAAGTGATTATATGACCGTATTTAACATTCAAGCCAAAAGGTTTATCCAAAAATTCAATAAACAACCTGGGCATCGCACGGGGCACAAAACTAGTGTATATATAAAGGGGAGTTTTTTTTTCCCGAGTTTTTAGAGAGCCACATAGGATTTTAATTTTTTTAAAATTATTAGAGCGCCGTGTAGGATTAGTATTTTTAGAGCGTTATGTATAGGATTATGCCACGTAGAATTATTATTTTAAAGCACCACGTAGGATTAAAATTAAAAGTTTAAATTTATTATAAAAATAAAATATTATCTTTTTAAATTGGAAATTTTATGTAGGAGAAAAGAAACAATTTATTTTATTTTGTATATATAAAAAAATACTATTAAATTTAAACATTGAAATTTACCTTCAATTGATATTAAAAAAAATTGAAGTAGATAAAAAAAAATAATGAAATATGAGAAGTGATTATAATAAAATATTTTATAAAAAAAAATTAATAAAAAAAAATATGAAATTACGTTCAATTAAAAAAAATATCAATTTTGGATTAGATACAAAAAAATTGAAAAAAAAAAACAGTGAAACTAAAAGTATATCTATTCTCTTTTTCCAAAAAAAAAAAAAAATTGTTCATCATTTATTATTTATTCGGCCAAAAGATTAAGTTTTACGTTAACAAAATTTATCATATATAATAATAAACTTTATCATCACTTTAAATTCAATAGTTTTCAATCCTATATAAACTCATCTAATGTCCCACACAAATAAACGTAAAACTTTTGCAGGCAAAGAAGCATATTTAGAATTTAAACACCATGAAATTCTTGAATACGGTGAACAGTGATGATAATTAAGAAGTCAGTCATAAGTGTTAATTTTGCAAAGGGGTAGGTTTAATTATGCAACTTTTCAGCTGGCACAATCAACGATTGATTTCCAAAGGATGATGGAAGCTTAGAAGATCGTATATATTTTCACCATGTACACAATTTGAAAAAAAGTTGGTTAAACAAAAACATATAGCTTTACATATTTTATTTTCTTCCTATTTTTCTTCAAGCATTGGTTTGTATTGTTGTTTAAACAAAAAATTTACAAAATATACAGTGTTTATATATGTGTGAACCTTAATTGTATAAAATTAAAAACAAATAGTAATATTATGTATTACGGAGTAATATTTTGTTATTACGATTGAATATTAAATGTTAAATTTAACTATTAATAAAGACCCTGCATCGCACGGGCTTAAATCTAGTTGATACATATATAGTGGAGATTGGAGAATTCCTTAATTAGTTTCAACTTGGAATTTGAAGGTATGGCGATAGGAGGATGAGGATCAATATTTTTTATTTTATTTTTTCAGAAATTGAAAAACATATTTTTTTAAGTCAATGGATGGATGGGCAAGATTGGTCCATAAAAAATATAGGGTCAAGATTAAAACTAGTTATAGTGACTACAATTTTAAAACTATACATTGAGACAACTTAACAAGTACTTACTATATTTAATGATACATATATAACATAAACATTAATCAACGTGATGCATGTAAATAATGCAAAAGTCAAAATGGACGCTTA